GGGTCATTAAGGCATTTGAATTGTTTTCAAGAGATTATTTTATGGTATAGTTGATCATTCTTCTTTGAGGAGAAATCAAAGATCAAAAAGTTCAACATAAATATTGATGTTGATTCAGGTTGGAGTCGGTTTTCATGCCGTGTGTTAGTTTTATTAGAAATCAGTTTGTTGACATTGTTAGCAATGATGAGCAACAAAGGTACCGTACATCGATGTTTGTTTTGAAGACATCCATTGGCCTTAAGTACAATGAAATATATTGTTTTTGCTGGCGATAGTGTCAATGTTTGTGTCGACAATGTACATAGGCCATAAAGCTATGGTGTGTGTTGACGGCGTTGACAATGATTTGTGATAAAATTAGAGTCTGCTGGTGTTTGTGTTGATGACATGCATCAAGCTTATAAGTGATGGCATGCATGGAGGGTGTTGGCAATAATATGCAATGAAGTTAGCAAGCATCAATATTATATCAATGGCATGCATTGGTCTTATAGGGATAACATGCGTAAAAAAATGACAATTTTCAGAGAGAGTAATTGATCAATGATGTAGTTGGGTGATTGTGTTTGGGAGATTGTATTTAGGCGGTGGGGTCAAGAGATTGTACTCAAACAATATTAGTTGAGAGATTGTAGTTAGGTGATAGTGATCAAAGAATTTTAGTCGCGTAACGATGATTAAGAGATTATTGGTTGGTGATGATGGTTAGATGACTGTTGTTTGGTGATGGTATAATTAGACAATTATATTTAGGAGACTTTCTTCTGACAACAATGATTAGTGGAGTATAGTGGGGCGACGATATTTAGGCTTCATAAGTAGGTGAAAATATTTGGGGGAAAGAAATCAAACATTGACGGTTAGTATCATGATTTGGACGGTGGAAATTAATTCACTGCTATTCTAATTATAATTCAAACACTAATGATTTAATATTCAAATAATACATGAAAGAGCCACTAAAGAAAACAATTACAATCAACAAGTAAAAAAATTGTACCTTTTTGTTTGCTGTTCTTGCCTCCTGTGTATATTTGCTCCTCTCATATTCATTTTGTTTAAATGTTTAAAACCTAAAAATAATATGAAAGCAACATAATGAGTTATCTAAAGATAATCCAAGAGTAACGACACTTTTAAACTACTGTAATCAAAGGAAAATAATCAAATATGCATGTGAGTTTATAATAAATCTTATAATATATTGTTTTTTGATAGTTTTATTAGCAGTCAAATATATGCTAATATCTGCATCAATGACCTTTTTCTAAATCAACATAGACTAATCTTCTATATGCATTTATCTTAATTTTATTTTTACTTTATACTTTACATACACATCTGTTTCTGTAAGGATCTCCATGACCGATATTGCCACGTCAGCACAACGGCTAAGGATCTGCATATCACAATTGTTTAGGGTGGAAAGACCCTCAGTAGCCCCTGACTGATATTATCCAGTCAACACTGCAGTCAACAATGTAAACATCACAGTTCTGGGGAGGTAATCTCTGTTCTACTCGCCCCTGACCGTTATTATCCCGTTGACACAATGGTTAGTGATCTAACCATCATAATTGCCCGGGGTGGTAGAAAAACTCTATGCGCACCGGTACACTGACATCCCCTTCCTGCACCATTAGAGGGTGAAATCCTTCTCTGAATATGCACATACATGCATTCTTATATAAACTATTTTATTCTACATTATTCTGAAACATCTTTATGCATTCTACTAACATGTATACTTACTCTTATTACGTTATATAACTATCATCATGTATCTCTCATATCATTCATGTATATATATCTGATGGTATCTTTTGCTAATATCATGCATATCATTTTATATTGTGTTTATCATTTGTAACTTTCCTATCACATCTATCGTGCATATCATGTATATCATATATATCACGCATCACATACATATCTTTTATGCATATTTTTCCTATTTACCAATATGAAGAATCTATTGGAATATAAATCTGACTGAACTGCAACATATATGTAATGAATAAACATTTTGAAATAAAGACGATTACCCAAATTAAGAAATGTAATTACTCACCTTGATTGCCACACAAGGTTCTCACTCTTCAGTAATTAGCTGGTTGTTTGATAACCTTTCTGTTGAGCTCAATAACCTAGAAAACATAATATTAAATTTTAAGATTTAAGTGATTTCCATAAATTGAATTATTAAATTAGAATATGATTATGTTACCTGACGATCTTGTACACGCTTGCCTCTAACTCGTCGCTTTGGTAACCAACCTGAAATCTTAAGCAAATCAGGAATTTATAATATATTTGTTAATTAGGTAAATTAGATCAAAATATCATTGATTTTACCAAAACATACCTTAAACGACTTTCTTTGCGACCAGCTTTTCTCCTAAGT